TGGATAAAACCAGCACATTAACCACCATCACCTAAGAAAATAAAGATTAGAAAGACCTTCAACAACCGTATAACCATCCAATGCTATGAAATTCTTTCTATCCCTAAAACATGTCACTTTTAAGATCGACAGTTTAAAATATTTGACCAGAATGAAAAGCTTGAGAGGAAATGATCAAATTTTGACTTATGCTTTGTTAATTCCTCTCCAGCCACAGCCAGGGTATGGGCAACATTTCCTATGCCAGAGCTCATTTGCTATGAGATATACTGAAAGACAGAAGGACAAATTGCACAAAACCTAAGCATAATGACAACAGTGATAAATGGTCAATCATGGTTGTATCTCTGAAGAACTTAGGAAGTAAAACAAGATATTTTTACTTCACATTTCCAAGCGATGTCTACAGTACAACTTTCTATATAGTACAGCGATATAAAAATAAGACTAAGGGAATAAATTTCCTTGGAATCCTAGGATGGCAAAAGTTACAGTGCCTTTCAGAAAAGATGATGTTAAGGGAGCCCTCCACCAGGTGGAGAAGGAGACCTCAAAATTACAAGAATTTTTTTCCTAAGGTGTTCACATCATAGAAGATTCTATTTTCTACAATTTAGTTACAGGCTGTCAGGTAATTGCAGTATATTTTATTTTGCAATGTTAATCATTAGTATTATTAACTACAAACTATTAAAACAAGTAATTATACCTGGGAGAAAAAGGAAAGGGGCTTTTCTAACAATCACTGATTTCCTGGTGGCCACACCATATGAAAGACACTCAGGAAGTCCTTGATCTGACAAGCATTACTTTCCCATTTCAGGGAAGGAAAAGAGAATACAGAAAGGTTAATTTTTTGACGACAGTCACAAGACTCAATCATAGTGTAACTGGAGTCTAGGTTTGTCAGACTGTAAAATAACACTGTGACCACTCATTTCCCTCAACCATTTTATGAAAGGTGTGACTTAACAATAGTACTTATATTTTTTCAAACTGAACTCTTATAAGGTATCATAATTCTGAAGCTTTTGACCATTTCTCCTCTTCATTTGTGTTCCATGAGTATTCTTACTATAAAACTCCACATTTAACCTACTTTAAGCATTTTTAGAAAGCACGATGTAACAGACGGGGTTCTGGGAAGATGGCAGCCCAGGAGGCATCAGAACTCTCTTCTCCACCCACACAGTAAGTGCCCTGCCAGCACTTGCCTGATGACAGGATTTTGGAGCTCTGGAGTACAGTGAAGGCTGGAAATTTCTAGGCAAAAGCCTGAATGAAAATTGTGGTTAGTTTCAGTCAACTTAGGCTCTCAGCACTTTAAAAGCTGCTGATCTCCCACCTCTCAGTTTTGAGACAAGCAGCCAGGCATGTATTCTTATGCAGGCTGCAAACAACTTATGAGAGAGACAGAGTGGGCAAAAAGGACCCCATTTTCTAAACATTAGGGATCTGTGTCCTGATGACAGACCGCTGCTTATGATCACAGAGGTGCAGACAGAGTGGCAACCATTGTTTCCGGCCTCCTTTTAATGTTCCAATGTAAATGTCCTTCCCATCTGGCTGAAGTGACTTCCAGGAGATTTAAGGAATCAGCAGTTTTCTCTACTTCATTTTTATCTTTTACCTTTGTGGAGAGCCAATGAACACTAGGATATTCAAAAGCAAATGTATACGTGGAGGAAATTAGAAAGTCATTATGCATGCCCAGGGCAAAGTAGCAGTTCAGAAAAGACCTGAGAAGATCTTGTATTTATGCTTTGGGCTAATCCTCAAAATAGAAACAGCCAACAATTTAAAAATACACAAACAAAAAATGAGTAAACCATTCAAAATTTGATTTCCAGTACTATATTAGATTAAAATGCCTAGTTTTCAAGCCCAAACATCACAAAGCATTCAAAGAAAAACAAAGCACTGATCATTCAAAGAGAAAGAAAGCAATAACAAGAGCATTATGCCTGAAAAACCCAAGGCAAACCCACTAGGCAAAGGATTTAAAACAAGGGTTTTAAAGATGTTAAAATAAGAGTCTTAAAGATGCTCAATGAACCAAATTCAGGAAAAGGATGTATGAAACATCAGTAAAGAGATAGTCAAAAAAAAAAAAAGAGAGAGAGAATAGAAAAGATTAGCTTCTAAAGCTAGAAAAGGCAATTACAGAAATAAAAAGTCACTACAAAGGTTCAAAGACAGATTTGAGTAGACAGAGAAATCCAAGAACGTTTAGATGGGAGCATGGAAATTATCAAGTCTGAGGAATAGAAAAAAAATGAAGCAAAGTAAACAGTACTTAAGGGGCCTGTGTGAAACCAGACTGGCTGCCTGTCTATCTGAAGAAGGAGGCAGGGAGAACGGTGTCCCCAGAGCACAGACCTGTCCCAAGCACGCACACAGAAGTCCGTGAATGCTGTCAACCCCCAAAGGGCCACCGTGACCAAATCCCAGTAAGTAGCAGAGTCACAGGGCTGGTTCTCCTGGGCTAATGAGTCTGGAGGACTCTCACCATTCATCATTTTGAAAGGGACTGATGTCTGTTGTATTTTACATTCCACCTCCAGAATAAAGAGTATAAAGGCTTTGGGCCTCTTACCCTACACTGCTAAAGGGGCCTGGTGTACGTATGCAGAGGTAAAACATATCTAGAGGTAAAACAAATTTCCATCCTTTCTGCCTCAGACATTCTAAGGTATCTTAAATCAGCACGGAAACCAAGAAGTCACGGTTCCCCCTTCCATCCATCACAAACACATGGTGCCTTCTATGCACATTGCATGGAAGGAAAAGGTACATTGCCCCCAGCTTCACAGATCAAGTTCTTTCCATAAAAGCAGATGCTCTAAGGTCAATATCCAAAGATCAATCCTCAAAAACTTAAATAAACAATAAACGGCTCTAAACTTGTACTTAATTCTTGGTTCCAAACATTTCATTTACCAGACTGAGCCAAATATACAATCACCATTCAAATGTTCTCAATCATGTGCACACTAACAATATTGTTTAAAAGACTTCTCAACAGAAGCTCTGCAGCTAGACTTACTGAAACAGGCAAACCAGAGTAAGTTTCTGAAAGGACCAAATTCCAAGTCAGAAGTCTTAAGGCAGGGAACTGGGGCTACTTCGTTAGAAGTTTGCAATTGCTCACACAGAGTGTATTCAGATCTGTCCAAAATCTAACAGGGATAAAATGCCTCCAACATTAATCAGATGTGCCGACCAGCTATTTTAGAAAAGAGGTTCATTTATGACTCCTAAGTAGTTAGCTTTAACTTCCAAAAACTCCCGGCTTCCTAGTAGAGATCCCTGCCTGGACTAGTACCCGTCAGACAGTCTACTAGTGGTGGGTGATGATAGAGGAGAAAAGAACCTCCCACCTGTGTTTCAACCAAATTTTCCCTGAGTTTATCCACTTTGCGTATTATTTTATTAGATAACCACTGGTCATTCCATTTGAAAGAAGAATTGCAAATGCTGAAAAAATGGTTGAAAACCTCTGTCCTCAATAAACCCCTTGATCTTAAAGTCAGCCCACGAGGAAATCAATGAATTTGCAGAGCCCGGGAGAGCAATTACCTAGTACTAGTCAGTTCTCCCATTCTCTACCAGCCCCCTCTGATCAAAATCCAGGGGAATTAACAAGGCAATACTGTTTTAGCAAGTCTAGAAAAATTCAATTTCCTTATATTATGAAACTCAAAACATAAAGCCTACTAATTAAACAAGCTTTTATTTTGGAAATTTTATAGACCAAAAAACAGAACTATGAGCTGTTACTACTCACAAGGGTGGTTTAATGGCATTACAGAGCAAATGGGAGGACTCTGTGGAAGAAATATATTTTGTTGTATGTTCCTTGATGGGACAGAGAGGATATCTGTGCATTCCAGAAGTGTCTTCCCACCAAGAAGTCTTAAATACCTGCCACCCTCATGACTTCTCACCATTGGTCTCCTGCTCTAGAGATGGACAGGCAGAGAAGGTCAACACCTTCTGGTCAAAGACCATCAGTAGCACTTTCAGTTGACAATCGCACTTACCACATACAAGCAGAGGAAGCCAAGAGCACAATGGTAAGAGACTGTTAGAAACTATACATATTAACAGGATTTAGGCTTTGGCTGGTAGGATAATCTGGGGATGGAAGTTGTCTAGAGAAGTAGGGCTGTGTTCTAGATTGTCAGAAAGCTGGCACATTCTGTCAGGTGTGGCAGCACACACCTGTAATCCCAGCTACTGGGAAAGCTGCAGCAGGAAAATCTTAAGTTTGAGGCCAGCCTGGGTAACTTAGTGAGATCCTGTCTTAAAATTTAAAAGAAAAAAAAAAGTCAAAGACAGAGGATAGAGCAAGGCAGTGCTTGCCTAACCTGAGTTCAAACCCTATCACTCCAAAAAGAGAAAAAAAAAAAGGGGGGGGGGACATTCTTAAGGCTGAATTGCTCAACAATTCTGTAAAAGTAAGGCAGTATAAGTAAGTAAGGCAGTATAAAGCAAGAATAAAGTTGCAGTTGGTCAAGAATATTTAGTCACTCCTAAATGATAATCTTGGCAGAGAATAGGAGAAGGTCAATATTAGACAGGAACAGATACTGGTCACATAGGGAAAAAATCTTTATCGATTCCCTTATGAAGAGACTGGATTTCAGGAAGCCACTGAAGAATATTTTAGTCATTATGCACAGCCAGGTCTAGCTCACATTCTAGATCTTGGCTCTTCATGTGTCACTCAACACACTGTTTCTGTCCCCTTTGACAAAGCCTGTGTTAAAAGTATCTTTCTTCTGACCATTTCATGAACTTACCTGGACCAGGAAACTCGACCTGACTATTTCAGTCCATTATGGGTGAAATCAGGTAAGTTGCCCCACTTCCTTCTCAAACTAACTGTGTCACAGAAACAATTTCCTTTCTCCCCAGTTTCAGACCAGCATTTTCAGAAAAAACTATAATAAAATGTTGCTAACAGGAAAATAAAATGAAGACACAAAATAAAAGCTTCACTTTAAAATTTATTAGGTTCATCATATATAAAGTAATAAATTACTATAAAAAATTTAATTCAGTTACACTGTATCTAAACACAAACCTGACTCTATGATACACACTTTGAGGAACTGTGCGGCTTTTTAATTACACAAAATCCATTCTGTGTAATACAAATTAATTCTGTCTCATGTTTGCCACATTTCAAATTCACATCGCACCTGATGAGGCAGCATAAGAGAAAAAAAGGTAAGGATTTTGCTCATGGAGAGGGCCTTGCTGTGAACCGATAAGACTTTGTGAGCAGGACCTGTGGCTCCTCCCATGAGCCACTGTTCCACAGCACACAAGTAGGACATCCCACACTAAGCCTCTATTGCTCCATTCTACAGTGGACTGACCACCCACGGCTCTGATCAAGGCCCCTCAACTCTCCTTACCTGCTCTCCAGAGCCCTGCTTGTGTTTCTGTCACCAACTGCTCTCTTCTTCCAGGCACCCAGCTGGAAGGAGCTGGAAACTCTAGAAAAGGCTTCCATCTGAGCATGGAGCACTGCCTGCTGAGCCAAACCTGGTCTTTCTGGATCAAGCCCAAGGTCTGGGTCTCTCTCTGCTTACAAACTGTCTCATTCATAAAATCTCTGCAGAAGATACTTCCCTTAATGATGATCTAAGACAAATATGCTTCATATACATTTTCAAGTATACATATATTTAAATATATATATGTGAAGTAAATTTTTGCCAGATTTTTGACACTTAAATTCTATGACTAACTTATTATCTTTAAGCTCCAAAGGATGTAACCATGATTATTTTTTTCATCATTTTACTGTGCCTGGAATAGTGCTAGACCCATAATTGGCTTCCTACCAATGTTTTTAAAATAATTAGTTAATGGACCAAAGAATGAAACAATGAACACTTACAGCGCACAACTTTTATACACATACACACTTATATTATGCTGACTCATACATGACATCAATAGTTAATGCTATATCTTAAACATGAAAAATTGAACAATTCTAATAACTTTCCTTCACACTTTAAATCTATTTCCCTTTTCCTCATAAAAACTTATTTCTCTAGATTTCTGTATCTCTGACTAGATAATTTGACACATATGGTAAGAAAAACCATGATTATTAAGCTAGATTTAAATATTACTGTGATAATGCATTAAAATGATTTCTTTACAATTTTCCTTCCTTAAACTATTTTCAAGCCAATATCCCAAAGTTTCAAATCTTAACTGAAATAGTATATAACTTTTATACTGTGAAATTAAAAACTAACACTCGATTTAAGATTAATTCTATAAGATGTTACTCAAGTGTTATAAAACAATACCATTGAGTAGAGTTTCCTTTCGTATTGTAGCACTGAGTCAAAGCCCCTCTCCAACAACACTTGAATCCAAACTCATTCAGTCTTCTTTTCTAAAAGTCCTGATTTTTTAATTCAAAAACAAACTAATTCAAGTCTACTCGATCTTTTATATAGAACGACAAGAATGTGAGTGATTCCCTATGTCTTCAGTCCCAGAAGAAGGTCTACCACCCAGTGTAAGGGTGCAGATTCTACACTAACACAGCCGAGTTAAGAGACCTGTACCTGTTGCACACATGTTATACAGTTTCCTGCACCAAGTTTAAAAAGTGCAGGGTATTAAGAGTTAGTGCAAGCCTGGGAAACTAGAGCCTAAAACACAATTCATTCATCAGCATCTGGTAAAACACATGGTATCAGATCTCAACTGGGCTGTACCTGTACTGCTAACAGTATGCCTAGAAGATAAAAGCAAAATATTGAAGGTACTTATAGTCAAAGAGCAACCAAAACAGGGTAATTATTACAAAGAATGGGATACTCTGAGAACTCCAAGGAGCAGCAGCTCTGTAATAGTAACAGCTCTGAATTCCCAAGAAACAGCAACCTGAAAACCACAGGAAAAAGCCAGTTGCTTTTTCTGAATGGAGACCTGGAGTTAGCTGTGCATGGAAGATGCATGAACACTGACATGATTCCCAAGAGACACCAGAGACACAAAACCATAAAAACACATGACACCTGCACAATCAGAAAGGAGGAGTGGCTATTGTTGGCCTCAGCTCCAAAACCAAAATGCAATTTATTAGCATTTTATTTGAGAAAAATCAAAGCTATCACACCAAGGTACATCTCATGTTCAAAATGTCATGCTGTTTGGGCAAATTCTGACAAGAAATCTGCTCATTTTCTACTTAATCATTCTGTTAGAAAGCTAAAGAATGCTTTCCAAATACTTTATGACGATACCCAAAGTTTCCACATAGAAAGTGAAATACAGTCCTTCTAGTGGAATCTATGTTTCTTTAGACAGTTTTCAGGAAGTTTTAAAAAAATAAGGCAACAAAATCTCCCAATATACCACAAGGAAAAACGAAAAACATGCTAGGATAGTTGTCTGTTGTTTCTTGGATAATGCTGTCTTCACATCTTAGATTAAGTCAATGCATACACCTTTGACAGTAAAGTACTTCCTAATGCTTTTCTCTGAACTTAAAATCTAACAGTGAATTAGGAGCTTCCTTCACACTTCTATCTTCCAAACCATGCCAAAGACACATTGCACCCCAACATGTGTGTGCACACACACCCATATACATGCACACTCAAAGGGAATGAGTCTTACCAGACCATCACAGTTGCTAATGGCAACAGAGGTCCCTGGAACGTCCACAATGTCACCGACATAAGCACAGTTGCTCTGCAAAGGCTCTGTTCTCCAGACTCCTTCTGAAGCACTTCCAGGTTGATGGTCATTCACAGGGTTGGTTATATTCCCAGGCACTGGAGAGGTTTCATACCATTCCACAACAGCCCCAGGAGCTACTAGTTGAGTATTGGGCTTTAGGCGCAAATGAAAACCTCTTCCAAATGCAGTGATGTTAAAGAACAGTTGCTCAGGGTTGGAAGACACGTCTCTTGGTGACCTCTTTTTGTGACTTGCAGACAGCATGTGGGAGAGATAACGTCCTTCTAGACTTGTGCTGACTGGAGTTACTAACTCATATTCCCTGTGCCTCCTCACTGGTAAATCTGTGGGGTAAAAAACAGAGCTATAGGACCTTGCGTGACAAGAGTACAGAAAAGGACAGGACATAGGCATCAAGTACCCACCTCACAGGCTGTACCTCATTTTGCATTAAGTGCATTACTGAAACATTTCATAAATATTAAATTGTGAGACCTCAAGTCATGCTCAAGTCATGCACTTAGGTAACTCAATGAATCATTTTTTAATTTAAAAAAATGTACTGCTTTGAGAATATTCGTTTCTTACATGTTTCAGAACATGAGTATAATAAAAGTTTCTATTAACTACACCTAGCTTACTTAAAAATCAAGACATAAAACCAAATAACTTATTATTAACATAAGTGGCACCAGCTATAAACTTTTTTAAGGTTGCTATTATGAAGAAAATTTTTTATTATTTTCATCTTTTCCCTGTAGAAATCCTAAAATTTATACTAATTCCAACAGCCATCTTATGTCACTTCTACCATAAGCCTATAACTTCTACACTGCAGCTTATAGTGCTATAGTTTATACAGGTTTTCAGTCATAACAACCCTAAAAACTATACTTCAAAAGTGAAGAAATCGATTTGGGGAAAGTCTGTGTCTAAGATCAAACAATTGTGAACCTCAGATTTAAATCCAAGCCGTATTCCAAAACCCACACCCTCTCCTGAGCTATATCATGCTGTGTCCCACCTATCCTCATTTGCAATAGTCAGGAGAATAGACAAAAAGGAGATAATGATATAAAACTTGAAAACACAGATAACTAGTCACCAGAGAACAGCATTCTCATTGGGCGCTGTGTTCCTTGCATGAGACACAGACCCACTTGGAAATGAAAGTATATTTGGAACCCTCCTTAGGACACTGACAGACACTTGCTTGTTAACTAAATTTCACAATTAGGACTTATTTTCATTACCTTGGCCAAAGGTTCGTACCGTGTCTCCTAAAATACAATCACCCTTGGGAAAGGATACTTCTTGGGAAAGATAAGAAGATAGTGAATTCTGGAGAAAGAAACAATGGAAGAGAAACCACAGAGCCAGGCAGGATGGCACACACTGGTAATTCCAGCTACTTAGGAGGCTGAGGCATAAGGATTGCAAGTTCAAGGCCAGCCTGGAAGATTTTGTATGACCCTGCCTCAAAATAAAATTTAAGAGGACACAGATCAGCATGATGGCCCTTGCTTAGTTTGCACCTGGCTCTGGACTCGATAAGAAAGAAGGAAAGGTAGAAAGAGAAAAAGTAAACAAGTAATCATGGAAAGGAAAACCTGAGATTATGAATGAAAGATTCCCCATCTTCATAAAAGAAAATAATGACACAGATCTTTTGCAAAAGGGAAAGGGAACAAGAGATGGAGAGAGAGGGGAAAGAGGGAAGGGAAAAGTGTGATAAAAGAGTTAAGATGTGTTATGTACATGTACCAACTCCACACCAGGAATGGAATCATTATGTGCTGCAAACATGTACTAATAAAAAATTAAAACTTTTAAAAGTAATTACTAAAGAATAAATAAATAAAAATAATAAGTTCCCCATATTCCTTACTCCAGCCTAAGATTTGTCTTGTAGTGTGTTCAAGTGCACTGAAAAAATACTAGTCACAAACTCTCTGTCTATAGAAACCGCATGTTTTACCACCAATAAAGTGTTTTTAGAGAATGAGATCCATGAACTGTGCTCTTCAAGTATCTTTATAAAATCGTTATGTTCTCAAGCAATGTGTAAAGTATCAAAAGACAAATGCAGAAAATTTTTCTACTTGAAAACTGCATGTTTGTTATCATCATGCCACTTATAATGATCAATGCATTTAAACAAAAAACACTCTTTATGAAGTGCACAGAACAAGTATCGGCCCTGAAAATGCTCGGTAGAAAAGGGTGAAACGTGTGCTATTTACAGAGCAGAGGAGCCTGACTCCAGCACCCACAGCATCAGGAGCCCTGCCACACTCAGATTGGCACCGAGTGGCACAGACAATGACCTGGTCTCTTATGACAAATCCATGTGGACATTTCTGTATTTTGGTTTGGAACAGGAAGTAGTAATTTCAGGAGTGAACCAGAGCACAAGGGGCACAGAACAATGCAGGGGAAGCTGCCACCGTGAGGCTGGGTCTAGCCCGGGATGGGCACTCAGCCAACCCAAGGTAACCATTAATCCCTGAGGACAAGAAGCTCCCCAGGCCATGCAGCACAGTATCACCGGCACCAACCAACACAAGGTTACACACACACACACACACACACACACACACACACACACACACGAGTGTCCCCTTCTAGAGGATCGGTTTATCATGTGCTGAGAGGACCACAGATAACCAGAGAACCTCTGCTTTGTCTCCATGCTACAGCCATACTGACTTACAAAACACACTGCGCAAGACCCAGGGGTGTCTGACTGCACCGATAATCACAGAACTCCTTCTCTAACCATAAGTTTAGTGTTTGCAGGAAAGGAGACGCTTAATCTCAATGTACAGATTGCCTGTCTCCTGTGAAAGGAATACACACAAGAAAGTCCAGACAATGCACTGATACCTGGATTAAGCGAATGGAGAACAAGTGAACTTTGGAAGACTCAGGGAGGCTCCGACACACCCAAGGACACCAGAGCCTCCTCCTCACAGCAAGCCACACAGTCTTTGGGACAGACCCATTTCTCCAGTGTCAGAAAATATGTTCTGAGCTTTTATTCAAAATAGGGATAGTGTATTTCTATAAAGCTTTGGCTTTCCTAATACTAAATAATATAGCATTCCTAGAATGTACACATAAGGAACATTTCTGAACTTAAACCTTCAATCAGTCATTTTCCAGCTGGAGATTAAGGCAGATACACTCTGTGGCCCCTCAAGACCACTGGCTCCCAGATCAGATAACAGCTAACAGAACTGACAAAGGAGCTACCCAGGCACCAACCATGGACTGGTACAGTAAGTGCAATGCTCTACAGTTTGCACTTGAGAATACATCACCTCTAATACAACAATCACAGTAGTAGATATGATTGCCCCTATGTTGTAGTGAGAAAGTAAATCTAGAAAGCCTGATGCACCAAATGAGAGGGAACTTAACGGAAACTTCAGTTCTGGTCCTCTACACATTTGACAGTGGGCTCACATGCTCACATCCACTTCAGAATACATGGAACATCTTGCTGGCAATTTCTAATTTAAGGTCTGACCTACAAAGCGAAAGTACCACAAGCATGATTATGTTCTACCTAACCAAAGCCAGTCAACCAAGTTTTCCTCTAGTGTAACTTCAGTAGAAGGCTCTTAAATTCTGAGTGTTAATGAAAAAAAAAATGGGAGTGGTAGGCAGAAGCTCAAAGTTATCAAAAGCATTTTAATCTCAGATTACAACTGCATAAAAAAACTAAATTATATCTCATGTTGATTTACTGCATTCAGAAATTATGCATTTATAAACCTAACTTCTTCCATCCAGCAATACAACATATGGGACGGGAATGAACTTCATTCCTTTATGAAGTGTGTCAGACAGAAATGAGCTGAATCAACTTACCCCCAGTCAAACTCTGAACTTCTTTTGTTTTTGTTTTTTTGAGACAGGGTCTCACTATGTAGTCTAGGCTGGCCTTGAACTCATTCTGTAGCCCAGGCTGGCCTCAAACTCACAGTGATTCTCTTGTCTCAGCCTCCCCAAATGCTGAGTTTACAGGCATGCGTCACCACACTCAGCTTCTGCATTTCTGGTAGGTTCTATTTCCTCAGTGGGTAGCTGGAGGACAGTAACAGTTCCAACATCAGGGATCTGGTGATAGGTTTAACTGAGATTATACAGAGAATTCAGTAAATATTCATACTACCAATTTAAGTGGGAATTAGCTACTCAAGATAATGTCACGTTCCATTTTAAAGTCAGGAACTATACATTTGTAGCTGTGGCAGCTAAAGGACCAAAGCAATTGACATGAAAAGGTCTCTGTGGGCCATGAATTTCCTAAGCACAGAGGGCTGAAGCCACCATAAAACCTTGTGGCTGTTCATGCACTGCCCAGGCATCAGCAGACACAGCGACTTCTCCAGAACCCACTGGTGTGCGCGCACATGTAGCTACCCCCTCCTGGTACCGGGAATGAACTGACTGGCATCGCATCTGAGAGCAAGCACTCCCCCTGCATATGCCACTCTAGCCTCTTCTGCCTTGTAAAGAACACATCCAGGAAATGTCTTCTCTTTTCCTTTGTCACATTTCCCCACATTACTAGATCATTCCCACCAACAAATAAATAAGCTTCCATCACATTCCCCATCTTTAACAACAAGAAGAAACCTTCCGGGTGCCACACCCTCCTTTCAGGTCGAGGGCTCTACCCCCATGCATGGGTTAGTGCCCTTGTCATAGGAGTTCCTGACAAGTGATGGCATGGCCCCCTTTCCTTCACTCTCCCTCCTCTTCAGGACACCCTGCCCTGCCATGCTCCCTAGGTGACAAAATACCAGCATAGCTCTCACCAGATGGGTCCCTCAATCTCAGAATCTGCTGCCTAAAGCGCTGTAAGAAATAAATCTGTTTCTTATAAATCACTCAGGCTTAAGGATTTTGTTGCAGCCACACAAAATGGACTAGACCATCCATCTAGCTAATACCCTGCTCCTTCACCCCTCTGCAAAGACATCTTCATTTCCTCTCTTTCCATTCCTTCTCTTTCTTAACCCAATTTCAGTCAGGCTCTTCTGAGGTCACTGATGACCACATTTTGCTGAGGCCAACGGTCAAGATCCCATCTCTTTACCTGCCCTGTCAGCAGCATGTGACCTTGCTCATTTCTTTCTTCTTGAAACACTTTATTTAGCTTCCAGGATGCTCTCTGGCTCTTCCCTTTCCTCGATGGTCTCCCTGTTCCACTCTCCCCTCCTTCCATCTCTCTCTCTCTCCCTGGCCTGTCAGCACGAAAGGGCAGTGGGATGGCCCACAACTCCTCTTCTGCACTTGTCATCTCTGCCCAAGGAACCCACCCCATCTCGTA